ATAGCCCTTTGGGTATAGTTCCAAATTGCTCTCCAAAATGGTTGGATCATTTCACAACTCCACCAACAATGTAATGCTAGCATTTTAATAAAAGAGATCAGTGGCACTCTCAAATGTCAATGGTGGTGGGCTCAAGGCTTATATAGCCTTGGAAAAATGGGTGTTTCAAGTCAATCAACTCTGACTGGTTAACAAGTAATGAGAGAATGAAAGGCTGGACTTACTCTAATGAATACTGATTATGTCATTTACTTCTAAGTTATCCCCAGACTTGGGCAATCTAAACAAAAAAAATCTATATCCCCCCACCCAAGCCTAAGCAGAAGACAATGGGTAGAAGTTTCACCTTAGATTAGAAGTCTGATCTAGTTGGGTAGAATAGCTATGCCCAGAATGAGGAGAATGTTACTCTTATCTTCCACCAGCCCTTCCTTGAAAGAGTGGACAAGGAAATAGGACAGGAGAAAAAAATTGGGTCTCCCCAGTTTTAACGATCAACTATTAATATGAGAGAGAAATAATTATAATCAATCAACCCCCAGGGTGGTTGTGAGGATCTAATGAGATAATATTTGCAAAGTACTTAGCACATTACTTGCAGATAGTAGGAGCTTAAATCCTTGTATCTTTCTTTCATTCCCTCTCTTCCTTCCTTCCTTCCTTCTGTTTCCACTACTATACAGATCCCTAAGGCTAGATTCTTTATATCAGATGGTTTTGGGGGGAGGGGCAGGCAGGGAATGGGTTTCTAGTCCCACTTCCTTCTGACACTGAGGCCCCAGAGATTCCCTCTAGCTATCACTGTTCCCCTATTCTCTTCCTTCTTGTTCCCATTGCACCCCTTTCTTTTATGTAGTTGGTCAGAATCAACATCTTCTATGGTATGTGAGTGGTTCAGACTGAGTCACTGATTTTGGAGAAATTGTAAAGGGTCCTCACAGCTAGACTGTGAAGCACAAGACTAGAGACCGTTGGTATTGGATGTGCCCAGTGAATGATATAAGTTGGGTATGGTTGATAAGTGTAAGCTCTAAGTATTTGAGTTGTCCAATGTTATTTCATCAGGCTTTTATCAGAGATATGTCTATCTTTTTATCCTGAAGATTCTGTTTGAAGTATTCTAAATTTGTCATACACTTTCCTCAACTACTCTGCCATCTTGTCAGTCATGGCTCAGTCTTTTAGATTTCTTTTGTATATATTTTCTATTCTCTAATCTGTGTATATGATGTCCTCTCTATCACCCTTTGTATAATCCCTTTCTTGATTCAGGAACTATTTATTTTCATCTTTCCATTCCCTAGTCCTTAAAACAGACTATTACATATACTTTCTTCAATCAGACTTGTGATGTCATTTGGTGTTTGAAATTCATTGACGCTCGGTGAAGACTTTCCTCTGCAAATATAGATCAGCACCTTCTCTGGAATTGTATAGGCTTGGGGAATTACCTAGGGCCCTGAGAGGTTAAGTGGATTGCTCAGGATGAATCAGCCAGGTTGTGTCACTGGTGGCATTTGAACCTAGGTCTTCTTGATTCTGAGACTAGCTCTCTATCCACTACAATATGTCACCTCTGTCTTAAATGAAGCAGATGTTTGATTAATGTTTGTTGAATTGAATTTGAAGTAAAATGATTGCCGTTTAGCAGTGAGAGCCCAAATAACTCAGTGTGGCAGCTGGGGGGTGGGATTTATTAAGTGTTTATTTGCAAGGCATTATGCTAAGCCTGAAGAAGAAAATATAACCAAACAAGACAATCTCTATCCTCAAAGAGAAAATAGCACCTAATGAGGAATGAGGGGAGGAAAGAGTAACTTCAAGAGGGTACATGAAGTATATATGAAGTAGTATATGAAGAAGAGAAAAAAATTTAAAAATAAAGGTGTGAGTAAAGTGAAGCAAGGCAGAGCTCTTTCTTAAAATGGTGGTCTTGAGAAAAGAGTCACTAATCAGGAGAAGAAGGCATCAGGGTGGAAGCTTCTCCAGCATGTCAAGATTACAATTGAGGAAAATAAGAAGAAGGAGTCTGGAGAGAGAGTGAAGTGAAGTGAAATGAAGTTAGGATCTTCCCTGCTTGTCAGGGTGAACTCATGTTTGAAAAGCATGGTGCTAAGATCCTACAATAGAGGGAGATACTGGGAAAGAGATGATACTTTCACAGGCAAGTCATAGTGTGGGTGATGCTCTAAGAAAATAAGGAACCCAGTGAGGGGGCTATTGGTCATTATAAGGAGAAGGGACACATTTAGTAAGAATGAAAGAGAAGGAGAGTTGGAAGAGGAGGAATTTGTGATAAAAGCAGAATTGCAGAATCTTAGGGTAGCACAGTTCTACATGATAGTAAAGGTTAAAGAACAGCCAAGGTGGTGCAGTAGATAGAGTGCCAGGCCTGGAATTTGGAAGACTCATCTTCCTGAGTCCAAATCTGGCCTCAGACACTTACTGGCTTTGTAACCCTGGGCAAATCACTTAACCTTCTTTGCCTCAGTTCCTCATCTGTAAAATGAGGTGGAGAAGGAAATGGCAAACCATTCTAGTATTTTTGCCAAGCAACCCCCAAATGGTGTTACAAAGACTGAACAACAACAACAAAGAATAGCCATGTCCCTGAGTGACTGGAGCAGGAGGGAAAGAAAGGGCACTAGAGTTGAAGCAATTCAAGAACTGTAACATTAGAATCTTTGTGAGTAGATCAGGTGGCATAGAGCACTGGGCCCAAGTAAGGACAGATCAGAGTTCAAATCTGATCTTAGACACTTACTACCTATGTGACCTGGGCAAGTCACTTAGCTTTTGTTTGCCTCAGTTTCCTCATCTGTAAAATGGGGATAATGACAGCACCTGCATCCCAGGGTTGTGGTGAGGATCAAATGAGTTAATACTTGTAAAGTACTTAGCACAGTGCCTGGCACATAGGGTGTGCTATATAAATGTTAGCTATTCTCATTTTGAGGTTAGAAGGATCATCATGTGTATTAAGGTCCCTTAACACCATAGCAGGGAATAGGGTGGAAAGGATAGCTATGAATGAGGTGCTAAAGAACAGAGTGGTAAAGAGTCTCAAAAGCATGCCATGTGAAGAACAGTTGAAGGAATTGAATATGTTTATTCTGGAGAAGAGATCACTGTCTTCAACTCCTTGTAGAAGACAGATTGGATGTATTCTGTGTAACTCCAGACGGTAGAAGTAGAAACTCAGTAGAAGTTACAAAGAGGCAGATTTCAGCTCAATATGAGAAAGAAGGTTCTAGCACAGGGGTGGGGAACCTGTAGCCTCAAAGCCACATGTGACCCTCTAGGTCTTCAAGTGCAGCCCTTTGACTGAATCCAAACTGCACAGAGCAAATCCCCTTAATAAAGGATTTGTTCTGTAAAACTTGGACTCAGTCAAAAGGCCGCACCTGAGGACCTAGAGGGCTACGTGTGGCTCTGAGGCCACAGGTTTCCCCCCACTGTTCTAGCAGCTAGAATCATCTGAACATGGAAAACACTGCTTTGCTAAGCAATGGGGTCCCTACCACCAGAAGTGTATAAGCAAGGGCTGGACAACCTTATTGTGGAGTAGAGTCCTACAATGGGTAGAAAATTGAACTATATGACCTTTAAGACCCCTTTCAATTCAGAAGTTGTGGGATTCTATGATTCCATAGCCACAACAGAATTATTCCTACAAATATGGACATACTAAAAAGTAGGTCAGGCCATTTAAACATTTGCATTATCATCACTGAATGCAAGATGTTTGTACCAGTTTCCCGTGCAATAACTCTATTCTAGAATAAGATTGAAGAAAGATTGAAGAAGGGTCCTGTTCTATATCACCATCTGTGAGCTTAATTGCCTGAGTCAGAGTTATAGAGAAGGAGAATAGCCCCATTTCTAGTGCCTGGAGTTATTAGTTCTTGGATATATCCTCCATCACCTTCTCTTGTCAAATAAGTCAGCACTGAGATACCTTCCTGGTAAATGTGTAATGACGTGGTGAGGACATTACTCTGTTCATTGAGAATGTCACAGAAAACTAGGTGATCCAATGTGTCTCCTGCTAGGAGCTCAGCAATGAGAGTTGATCTGTGTTTTAAGAAGCAACAGAGACAAACATATGTATTGGCAGAGTGTCAGTCACCATCCTCTCACAGTGAGAAATTCTCAGAAGAATGACAAGCCCTGTCTTAGCCACTTCAGGAACTCGGAAAAGCAGTTTCTATAGAAGATTCACTTACAAGCCTAGACAATCTTGACCAAGAGCAAGCTACCCTCAAAGTATTCAGTGGTAGATGTTACTGTGTGAGCAGTTTTTAGAACTCAGAAAGACCTCTTTTCCTTTTCTTTCTCCTCACATCCACCTCACCCCCAACACACACACACACACACACACACACACACACACACACACACACACTTCAGAAATCCAGAAACTAAGCTTAAATGTGATTCTGGGTGGCCTTATCTATTAGCTATGCCCAGTTCAAACACAGTGGCTGTGTGAAACACTAGAGTCACCTAATGAACACATGGTGGGAACAGCAATATGGTAGCATACAAGGAAGATTACAGCTTTCAGATTCTTTCTCTAGCATGTAACATGCCAGTAGGGGTGTCTCCAGTAGCTGTGCAAATCAATGAATATAAAGACAGAAAAAACATTCTGATATGTTCTACTGTTCTACCTCCCCAACTTGGCACTCACAGATTTACAGTTTGGGTTCCCTAGAGAGCAATTATACTCACAACTTCACTAAGTGGAGTCTACTAGTCCACACTCCTAAAACTAAATAGGTATTCCTGGGTCTGCCCTTCTCAATTTGATTCTCAATTGCCAAGACTAGTTCTCTCTTGAATCCGCAGTCAGCTCTCTTCTCTGCTGCCAAAGGTTTCACTTATTGAAACTTCTTCCTGCTTTGCATTCTGCTTTGTGTATCTGTGTTTGTCTGGAGAATATGTATCTGTTCCTGACCTCAGATTGCTTGATTCTCCCAATTAGCCCCTTATGAATGTGGTGTTTGCTATTCCAGTGCTGAGATACCATGGTTAAGGAGGGAGGAGAGGGCAGGAAGAAAAGAAAAACTCCTTTGCCACTGCTGCTTCTACTCCCTACCATTTAGATTGGGCAGGTATGTCTTTTAATCACTGCACGATGTCCATTCTTTTTTATAATTACCCAATTAGAGACACACTTGTGTTAAGTGCCTTCCAAATGAAAATACCACATATTCCTCATTTCCATAAACTCATAATAAACAAGATACTCTGTAAATAAACACTTGGTAAATAAACAACAAACAAGGCAGTGTGCCATCACTGAGAATACGAAAGGAGAGGGAAAGGAGAGGAAAAAAAGAGGGGAGCTGAGAGGAGGAAGGGAGAGAGTCCTTACCCTCAAGGAGCTTATGTTTTGCTGGAGAGAGAAAAAGTCTATACCCATATCATATTACCAAAATACTTATATTCACCAGTGAAATTGTCCTCATTCGTAACTTTAAGTGAGCTACTCTAATCAAATAATCAGACCATCTTCTAAAGCCTATATACTGTCCCTCTCACCAAGTAACTACCTAAGACAGAAAGTGAGATCTAACTTAACCAAATTATTCCAATAGCATTCAAAAGACACTCACCCCTCCCCCCAAAAAAATCTGTTGACAATTTCATAGTCCTACGTAGACCTACAGGTCTTATTGTCTATTCTATGGGATAAAATAAAAATTCTTCAATCTAGAATTTAAGACTCTCTACAGACTGACTCCCTCCTATTTTTCCATATTTATTTCATGTTGTTGCCTTTCATTCATTCTATGGTCCATTTAAATTGGACTACTAGTTGTCTTCTGAGCTTGACAGCCCATTTCCTATCTCCAGGTCTTTGCACAGTTTATACTCTGTACCTGGAAAGCACTTCTGAGTTTTTAGCTCTAATTTAGCTCCCTTCTATCCACTTAGCTTCCTTCAGGACTAATTTGAGTTTCCATTTCCCATAAGAAACTCTTCCTGGTTCCCCAGTTCCCTTGGAATTATCTTGTATTTAATTATCTGGGTATGTGTTGCAGCCTCCTCCCTCCAGCAGAAAGTAAGTTCCTTGAGGGCAAGGACCATTTCTTTTCCTCTCCTCTGCTCTTTTCTCTTCTCTCTCCTCTTCTTCTCTCCTCTCCTTTTCTTTCTCTTTTCCTCTTCTTTTATATTCTCAGTGGTAGCACACTGCCTTGTTTATTGTTTATTTACTAAGTTTTTATTAAGTGACTTTTTATCAAGTGCCTGGTGCAGTGCCTTGAACGTAGTAGACATTTAATAAACACTTATTAAATTGAATTGAGCTGAATCTATTCTCATCAATAGTGATAGTGAAATCACTCCTTTGGATTTTCCTATCTCAGACCTTGATTTTCTTTGCAAAGAAATAGTAACAACACACAGAACAAAGTTGGGAAAACCCATTTGGCCTTACCAAACACACACAGATAAAACTGTGCTAGAGGTGACAGAATGTTAAAGACCCTCAGATAATTCTCAGGTTATCTCACAGAATGGAAGGATCCAAAACAATGGAAAGAGTCATAGCCTATATTTATACTGCTCCCAAAAATGTGACCAAGAAGACCGTAATTATTGCCCCATTGGCCTACTTTTCATGTGTATGCTACTTACTTTGTAAGAACGGTTTATGCATAAAGCAAAGAAATGTTAGAAAGAAACCAGTGGGCTTTTGCAGGTGATTTTTCTACACCATACCATAATTCTAGAGTCACAAAACTGTCTGAGAGATATAGAGAATATAAAATGCTGTTTATTCTTTATTGATTTTTTAAAAACATTTAAATATTGAATTTTTTGGCTAAAGATCAAAATGTAATCTTGAAAGCTCTCCTCTAGCAAAATATTTCCCATACCTATTTAAACTATGACAGATAAAACTATAGATGACAGTCATTCAATTATATGGCAAGTGTTGATGGTAAGAAAGGTGTAAATTAGCAAGATTTATGCTCACTTCATTTGTATTTGTCAGCATCCTACATAAGGACCAAACAAAAGAAGGACTGTTAATTCATGCCAAACCCTGGAACATGACATGGCTAATTTATTTTAGTCTCTAGAACCAGGGAGGCTTTTCTTGTTCTATCAGGAGTTTCACCTTGAATTCTATGAGGTCTGGGGCTATCTTCTAGGGAATCTTTCAGCTGGGGCTACCTTCTGAACCTTTGCCTCCTTATGCAGATGCTGATCGAACTGGGATCTCTTCCTCAGACTTTTTCTAATTTTACAAAGGGTGTTGCTTTGCCCTCCTCTTCTGTCCCAAGCCTATAACAATTCAGATCAACCTCAAGTCTCAGCTCAGATTTAGTAGATTCTTTTTTGTCTTCTTTTTTGAGCCTTGCGGCAGAGAAATTAAATTTAAAATAACCCCACATTCCTGACAAATGAATAAAATATTGGAAGAGCAACAGATCTTTCTGGTTGCATGTGTAGAAGCTTGACACTTTTGTACTTTTTTTATCAGGCAACATGGCTCCCCAGATAAGTATGTTGATATCTTTTGCCAAATTCTTAATCACATGGTTTACTTATATGGCATATGTCTCCACTTCATTTCATTTCCCTCAGAACTATCTTTTATTTTTACATCAACAGTTGTTGCTGGAAATACCTCCCCTCTTCATCCCCTGCTCAAGACTGAACACTCTTTTAGAACAAAGAAAAGCGACTAAGCAAAAGCATCCCAACATAGTGACAACATCTGACTATGTATATAGCATTCTGCTCCAACAGTCCCCTAATTTTCTGCTGTTAGAAAGGAGGTATGCTTCATCATCTGCTCTCCAGGAATTTACTGGTTTTTAATTTACTCGGGGCTTAGTTTCCTCACTAAAAGACATGATTATGAGTACGTATGATCAGAAAAACAGGTGGCCAATCACACAATGAAAATCAGAGCCCACATGGTAGATTGGTAACCAAAAGGTATCAAAAGAACCATAGAAAGATACGTAACATGGTAGGTAGATTTATGAGAAAACATGGAACAAAGTATATAGGACATGAAGGTGTGCAGGGATTATAATTGGATTTGTAATATCTAATAGCTAACATTGATCTGTTGGCTTAAGGTTTGCTAAGTACACTACATACATCATCTCACTTCCAGCTCTAAATCTATGATCCTATGATATTTACAACAACCCTGCGAGATAATCAGTACTATTATTATCCCCACTTCACAGCTGAGAAAACTGAGGCTGATAGCAAGTAAGTGAACTATCCAGGACCACACAGCTAGTAACTGTATGAGGAAAGATTTGAACTTGGGTCTTTCTGTCTCCAAGTCTGGCCGTTAATCCATGGTTTCTGTAGTGGGAATACCCACAGCAATGAAATCGTGGAATCACCAAATAAATGTAATTCTGGCAATGGTGTGCAGGATGGATTGAGGAGGGAGAGAAGGGAATGAGGGAAGTCAGTAAGGAATTTATTGCAGTAATCCAGCCACAGAGTGATAAGGACAATGACTGGGGAAAAGGAGATAAAGGGGGTGAATCTGAGAGATGGTAAAGGAGAAAATGACAGAAATTGGTGACAAACTGGCCATAGGGAAGATGAAGAGAGATGAATAGAAGATGACTCCAATATATCTAGCCTGGCTGAATTATAGAAGTAGAAAAGTTGGGACAGGGAGCTGGTTTTTCAGAAATGCTGAAGTCATTTTAAGATTTGTTGAATCTGAGTTGGTGACAAGTCTTCCAAGTGGGGTGTCTTGTCAGTGTTTGGAAATATTTGACTGACACGTAGATGAAAGGTCAGAGACAGAGGCATGGGTTTGGAAAGCATCCATAGAGAGGTGACCGTTGAGTTGTTGAGTCTGTTAGTTGATAGCCTGACACCAGAATGAACCCATGGTAACTAAATGGAAAAACACCCAATGGCTTTCATGTCAAATCTGCACGTTCCTATCTTTAGTATATTACTGTTAACATTCACGAGGCCATAGCTGCCATTCTCATACTTATCAGGCCCATATAGAAACAGAGATTTAGACCTGAAAGTGACCTCAGAGGACACTCAATTTAAATCCATTTTACAGATAAAGAAATCGAGGCCCAGAGCAGGTAAGAGATTTGCCCAAAGTCCTACGGCAAATGTCTGAGATGGGATTTGAAACCAGCTCTTCCTGACTCCAAGTTCCTTATTCTATCTATTATTCCATGTTGCCTCTGATAGAAAGATAAGTATCTCTCTTTTTGTCATGCAGTGTTCTTCATGACGATTTTTATTAGCATTTATGAAGTCCAACCATCTTAGAAGAGAGCTTGAGCTCTTCCTTTATTCATCCCTACCTTTAACAAGCATTTGGCAGAAACATAAAAGCATAGATCCTTATAGATTGTCTGATCCAACCCCCGCTTAATGCCCATTGAATGTGTACTGTGTAGGAAGCCAATGAATACAAAGGGGGAAGAAAACATAATGCTTGACCTGATTGACCTTACTCCTAGGCTTCGGAAGAAAACACAAATACACAAGAAACTGGAGGGATTATAAGCAAATAGGAGATAAAAATCATTGGATCTAGACCTACAGGGGACCTTAGACTAAAATCATTTACTTCAACCCCTTTATTTTAAAAATAAGGAAGCTAGGGCCAAGAGCAGAGAAGTGACCTGATCCAGCTCACACAGGTGGTAAATAGCAGAGTTACGATCTGAATTCAGGCCCTGTGATTTCAAAGCAGGTGTTCTTTCCACCACAATATTAATGAAATATAAGTGGTTTTTTTGTTGTTGTTCATTTATTTCAGTCACGTCTAACTCTTCATGACCCCTTTTGGGGTTTTCTTGGCAAAGATACTGGAGTGGTTTGCCTTTGCCTTTTCCAGCTCGTTTTGCAGATGAGGAAACTGAGGCAAACAGGGCTAAGTGACTTGCCCAGGGTCACACAGCTAATATGTCTCTGAGGCCAAACATATCCTGGGGAAATGGAAAACAAAGGAGTCACTAAGCAGGAAAGGGTTCAGAAGTGGAAAGGGGATGTCTTGGGAGGTAGCTGGTTGATCCTTGTTGAAAACATCCAGGCATGGACTAGATGAACTTCTCCATCCAGGGAATGTTCCAGAGAGAATTCTTGCTCAGGTACAGGTTGGTCCAAATGGTCCCTGGGGTCCCTTCTCATTCCAAGACTCTGTGATCTTGCAAAGTGGCTTAGTCCTTTCTAGCCCCAGGAGGACCAGTCAGATTTATCATTTCAAGAAGTTAATTCTCTTTATGGACAGATGGAGCTTACAATCCCCCTTCTCTGATGGAATCCGGCACCTGATAGCTCTGCTTTCTGTTCCCTGCAGGCTATTCCCACCAGACTCTAGAAATGAATCTCTGACTTACCTTATTTTTCATTTCGATCTAAGGTGGTAGCAAGTCTCTTTGACAGATGACGAAAAATCCCATTTTTCCTCCTTTCCTTGCCATGAAAGCACAGCAAGTAATTCATCTCTTTCCCAGCACCACATTTGGAGCAAAGATTCGCTCCCTAGCTGTAAGAAAACGGCAACAATTTCCAGGGCCATGCTCCATTGCACTGTATCTTTTGGGAAAGAAAAAAACAAACTTCTTTTCTCCCCCTCTGAACTGGGTGATAGTCTTACTATAATACTCAACAGTTAGAAAGGCTGAGGCTACAAGTCTCTAGACAAAATTGGAACAGTTATAATATTAGAAGAAAAAAAAATTTAACGCTTATCTATTTCTATCTATTTGTCCTATATTTCCTAAAGGTGGGGCAATCAGATTGGTTCATCCCTTTGACCCCTAAAGGGAATCCATGAGTGAGGACTTCACCCACAGGCCAGCGTTTTGTGTGCCTTGTACTGGCTATCGTCTCTAGACCGTGCTACTTGACCGGCACCAAGACAAACTACTTGTTCCAAAATATCCCTCCACCTGCCCCGGTTCCTACCTTCTGCCACCAGAGATGGATGCCCTCGGGCTAAGGTTTTGCTAGTCCTAATTTATCTTCTCCTAAAAAGCAAATACCCCTGAGAAGGGCCAACTAAAGTTGGCATCACTCTCTAACATTGCAGTCTGGATGAGTTTATCAGATGCTTTCTTCCTTGAGTAAAAGTTGAGCTGGGTGGCACACTGGATAGAACGTTAGGGAAGACCTGAGTTCAAATCCAGACTCAGACACTTACTAGCTGTGTGACCCTGGGCAAGTCCCTTAACTTCTATCTGCCTCAGTTTTACAAAGTGTAAAATGGAGATAATAGTAATAATAATAATGATAGCACTTTCTTCCCAGGGCTGTTGTGAAGATTGAATGAGATAATATTTGTAAAGTATTTTGTAAATACTTTGCCATATAAATGCTTATTCTCTTCTCTTCTGGACAATTGGCTGGAATGTAGGAATTGGAAGGATATAAGGGAAGGCTGGGAGAATGGGGCATTGTTGTGACCTTGATATGGTGTCAGGGAGGAAGACAAGGGTTCTAGGAACCCTGGGGACTTTGGGGAAGGTCTTGGACTTCAGTGACTCCAGAAGAGAAAGTGAGGCTGATGACTTTGTACAACTGTCTCATTTAAACTCATTGCAGCATAAGACAAGACATCACATATTATCCACCATTTTACTATGAACATTGTGATGTCATTGGTGAAAACAGAGGCCCAGCAATAATAACATCCATACCAGAAAAATAGAGAAGCACAGAAAAAGCAAAGTGAAGGGCTCCAGAAACAAGCTTCTCGTCACAAATTTGCTCGGGGATTGCTCTGTGTTCCATATTCATAATAGTGTCTGAGCTTTGCTCCTCTGGGAGAAATTCTGCACCAGAAGACAATCAGGTCATGATTCAGTTACACCCTAAGCCTTTCATTAGGTCTTGCTACTGCCATCAGTCGTGGCCTGCTGAGCACAACAACAGCAACAACAAAAAACACAGAATCCAACCTATTCATTTCACATGGCAACATGAAACCTTCCAGTGAATACAGCTCTTTTTGCAAGCGTGAGGACCAAACCAGCCTGACACTGAATCAGATTCATCCTGCATATGACTTCCTTCAAACTCTAACATGGAAATGAAACTACCAGGGACCTTGACACATTTCTTGCAGACCTCACTGTACCTCCTAATTTCTTTCCTGTCTCTGAGTAAAATCCCTTCTCTTCAGACCACCTCTGCTGCAGAAGGAGAGTTCAATGTAGCAAGGTAAGAAGGAACATATTTTTTTAAAGACTTAAACTAGACTGAATAAAAGACATTTAAGGTCCCTTCCGATTCTATGTTTAATTATTCTAAAAGCCAATAGGACAAATAATGCTATTTTCACTTGAAGATTATTTCGCTTAGGGGCAGCTAGGTGGCGCAGTGGATAGAGCTCTGGCCTTAGCGTCAGGAGGACCTGAGTTCAAATCCAGCCTCAGACACTTGACACTTACTAGCTGTATGACCCTGGGCAAGTCACTTAACCCCATTGCCTAGCACCCCCCCCAAAATAAATAAATACATAAATAAATATATATGTATATATATATATATATATACATATATATATATATTTTTTACTTATAGACAATTGCCTATGTAGGAATATATAAACTATATAGATGCTATATTCAAATATGCTCAAGCTATATAGTGAATAAGAAGCTGGTGCTGGAGTTGGAAAGATATGGGTTTGAGTACTGCTTCTGACACACAGTGGCTGCTTGACTCTGGGTAAGTCATTAAACCTCCCAGTATTCCCCAGGAAACTCTCTAAAACAGTGTTATAGAATAGTTGCCATGCTACATTGCTACAAGTAGTTTCTTCAGCTGGGAACTACCCATATGGATGAAATCACAGGTCCAGATCCCTTACCCCTAAAGAAATTGTAAAATTTTACCTCTCCTTCTGAGCCACAGGCATTTGGCCTGGAGTGGCCACCAAAAGTCATGAGTTCTGCTCTTTCTCCTTCCCTTTTGGAGATCTTTGAAGGAGCAGCCAGAGATAATTTGCATAAATCTGCCCAACCACCTTGAAGAGAGACAGAAGATCAAGAGACAAATGGAAAGATAGTGGGAATGCTTCCCTAAACCCCAAAAGTCTCAGTGGTGATATAAGCATGAAGACAGGAATACCAAGAGGAGAAGGAGGTTGTGGACTCACCATGATCCTATCCCAAGTGAAAAACAGACATGCTTGAAGAGTCCAAGAAAGAAATAGATCTCCACAGTCATTTGAAGAGATCCTTTGTGTGAAAGGTGAGGCATCAACTCAGGTATAAACGTAAGGTTTAAATGAATTGGAAGCGTTAAGTGGCTTAGAGCAGGGCTTCTTAAACTTTTTCCACTCCCGACCCCTTCAGCACTTCTTACATTGTGGGTCACAACCCCATATGGGTATGAGAAGTATAAAATCCAAACTTCACAGAATAAATCCCCTTAAGAAAAGGCTTTATTCTGTAAGACTTGGACTCAGTCAAAGGGCCACACTTGAGGACCTAGAGGGCCACATGTGGCCTTGAGGCCACAGGTTCCCCACCCCTGCTCTATGGCCTTGGATGTTAGTCTATTCTGTATCCTTTAATTTGTAGATGGCCTTAAGTTATCATTAGCCTATGGCCTCAATTTTTAAAATAACATAGACATGTGCTGGTTGTGTGACTATATACACTTTTGCCTCTGCAGAATAACTTCTTAAATCACCTGACCTTTGGTTTTGGAAATACTCAATTCTGCTACCTGTCCTATAAAACCCTTGAGCTGTTATATTGAGCATCCAGATTTTACTACCTTAAAAATAAGCCTAGACATTTAGTTCCGGTGTAATTTTTCAGAACAGTGTCTGAGAAAGGTAGAGAAATGATTCAAAAGCTTTTAAAAAGACATGTGGCGTGTGTGTGTGTGTGTGAGAGAGAGAGACAGACAGACAGACAGACAGAGACAGACAGAGACGGAGACAGAGAAAGATAAACAAAGTATGTGTACTGCTACATTATCATAGAATCATGAGGCAGGAAGGGATATTATGAAGTCATTTCATCCACCCCTCTGTCCAGACCTCACTAATTCATCTTAGACAGATGAGATTTCTGTCCTTGGGAGAAAGAGATGCTACCTGTATGACACTGTATGCTGCTTCATACTTCATTTGTATCTCCTGAATTCAGAGTGGATGGGGTTTCTGGGAGAGAAAAACAAGTTGCCAAATATTCCCTACATTTTCTTAGGGATGGTACATTTCAAGTTATAGTCTGGAAATGCCATTGTCCTAAATAAGGAGTGCTCCTCCCCCAACCCCATTCCTGTTCCCATCCTCACATACAGCCTGGTCAGACTCAGAAGTGTCAGGAAAGAAGCCTAGCCAGATTGGAAGGCCCTTCAGACTAGAAGTGATATGGGAAATGGAGAAGATAAGCAGAAAGCTATGTCATTTTAGGTGGCAACTCGTCTTGAACTATTTGGACAAATTTCAGCCTTTTTACATAATAACCTCTGATTCATATAGAATAGTCTGGAAGGAGAAAAACATTCAGTCCTCCAAAACATTTAATTACAATCCAACTTCAGAGTACTAAAAGAGTTAAAGGTCAATTTCTACCATCTCCAAAGAGACAGCAAGCTTTAGAGCCTGCAGATAAGATAGAATTTTCAATTTTCTATGGAATTTAGGTCACATAGCTCATGTTGATATGATTTGGACACATTAGATACAAAGCAAAATTAAGGTGGCACTAATACACAAAAGAGAAAGCTAAGAGGGAAGGAACCATTAAATCCCAATATATCCCCTCAGGAATGATTAATGTCCCAGCAGTGCAATGTTCAGTCTCATCACTGAGTCATACAATGCAATGGTTCTGATTTAAATACTGCTTGAGGTCCCCTGTAAGATAACTTGTTGTATTGAGCTTAGTAAATAAAGGAAGCAACATTACCCAAAGCAATTCTTAAAGTTTCAAAATACCATTCTCTAGGACAGATTTCATATGCTGAGTCACAAGTGATGATATCTTTGAGTTTAAAACTCTTCCAATTTTTAAAAATAGTATTCCTTTCCAGCTCTGAAAGCTTCTGCTTTATTCTGCAATACTATAATTATGACTTCATCTTTTTTCTTTGCTATCTCTGAAAGGACTTCCAATTACTTTACAAATATGTAGGACACTTTGATAACTCTGGAGTGAGGGATAGTACTAAAACATTCAAAGCAGCAACTAGGAACTTCTACTTCTTGGTTAAGGAACACAAATTACACCAGAGGCAAATGGCATAAAATGTATTCACTGTTAAAGAGAGAAGAGGATGTCTGGTTACAGAACACCCTCGGTGGGGGTGGGGAGGGTGGGGAAGAAGTGGGGATGGTAGACCGATAGAGGAGCTTACCAGGAGCCCACAGTCTGGTAGCTTCCTCTTTTACCTAATTCTTCTTGCTAAACTAGATACAAGCACTTTGTTCCCATTTGTTGAAAAACTGAAAATGTATTCATCACTCTCTAAATCTGGCACCGAGGGTAACTTCACTCTAGCTAACAACTCTGCGTCTACCTTACAAGCTTACCATATCATATCTTACTTTTTAAAAAATTGAATTCATTGTTTAAAATTAATAATAACAAATCAAACACCAAAAAGTATTTTATAGAGCTAGAAAAAATAATAAAATTCATCTGGAAGAACAGAAGGTCAAGAACATTAAGGGAATTAATGAAAAAAAAAAAAACACGTGAAAGAAGATGACCTAGACATAACAGATCTCAAACTATACTATAAAGCAGCAATCATCAAAACTATCTGGTACTGGCTAAGAAATAGAGTGGTGGATCATTGGGCTAGATTAGGTACACAAGACACAGTAGTAAACCCAAAGACCCCAGCTTCTAGGACAAGAACCTACTATTTGACAAAAACTGCTGGGAAAACAGGAAAACAGTATCGCAGAAACTAGGCACAGCCCAATATCGTACACTGTATACTAAGATAAAGTCAAAATGGACACATGATTTAGATATAAAGGGTGATGCCATAAGCAAATTAGGAGAGCAAGGAATAGTTTACCTGCCAGATCTAAGGAGAAGAAAAGAGTTTATGACCAAACAAGAGATAGAGAACATTATGAGATATAAAATGGATAAGTTTGATTATATTTTATAAAATCAATAATAATAGCTGACATTTATGCCAAGATATTACTGTGCCAATTTACAGAGAGGAAACTGAGACTTACAGAAGTTCTATAACTTGTCTGTGATTACACAGTTAGTAAGTTTTAGAGACAGAATTCAGACTCAGGTCTATGTACAAAGCATTGACCTATGTACTATATTCAGGGAAGGTAATTAGATTCAACAAACATTTAAAAGTACTTACTGGGTACATATCACTGTGATTTGATTTGGAGAATGTTATTTAACCAATAACAAATCAGCATAATAGAAGATAGAGAGCAGGCCTTGGGGTCAAAAAGATATGGGTTCAGGTCTTGCCTCTAATGTATGTTGTTAGAGCACCAACTATGGGCAAGTCACTTGACCTTAACCACTCAGTGCCCTCAGGTAGTTCTCAAAAACCATGAGGTACAGATAAAATTGCCCATCTGAATCTTGAGTGAAGGATATTTTTATGCTACCAGTTTCTTCCATTAATGAAACTGCAGCCAACCTTTTTTTCCTCTTTTTAGGATTCAGCATAAAAATAAATTGTGTTATACCATGGCTGTAGCTATATAGATACAGCTGAGTGTCTATGAGTTCAGGGGGAAAGTCAAAAGTAGGAAGTCATCTCTATATAAAAAATAGTTCCACCACTTTGGTATTGTTTTGTTTGGCAACAACAACAGCAACATGCTTCAGATATTACCTAACACTTTAGGATATGCAACAAGTCGGTCTCCTTCTCCAGGCAATTCAACAGCAGATGTTGTGCTGTTCAAGGTCTCTCCGTTCCACTGCTTGTAGGCCCACCTGCAGGCTTTGTGGAGGATTTGGCTAACAGATTATTAATGTAACCTCAGTTTGTAAAAGGCTTGAGAGACTGGGTAGGGGTAGCAGTTTACATTTTGGGGAGGCCTCAGTTAACTGCGAAGCTGGAACTTTCCCATTCCCCCCCCCAAGCCAAATGTCTTATTTTTAAGTGTTCACAGAAATGAACAGTAAAACAATATGAAGCTGGTCCTTCCCTTAAAGGGAAAAACTCTCGGATTTTGCATGTGTCCTGTTTTTAAGGAGAATTTTTTCATTTTTCTTCTGTTTCTGATCCCTCTCTCGACATGCTTGCTGGCATCCAGGATAGCTACTGAAGTATTTGAACGTTGGCAGCAACCCCCAGCCAGGTACATCAATTTTGTTCTCCAGAGCGCTCCATTAGGGACATATTTAAACTGTGGCTTCCATGTAAAAGAGGATAAATTGCCCACAAGGGAATCTCCCATCTCCTTGTTATGATCTGAAAACACAAGATAGGTCCTCCTTCTTGGTGATGACACTTTCTATTTCTTCCCCCTACAGGAGCTCTGGGAAAAGGCACCAACATACCAGTGTGGCTCTTACTCCTCCCATCAGCACTCTGGTCCATTTGTATTTGAAATTGAGGCTTAAAGTGTGCTGAAATCCATCCTAGAGGATTGGGGAGGAAAAAGTTGCAAACAAATAGAAGATCTAATCCTTCCCTGCATAGATACTGCAATCTAGTCAAGGAAACCACAAACGTGCTTGAGGAAAAACTACATTTACAAAGTAATATCCTTGTATTTTACTAGTAAGTGGACATTGATATAGTGTAAACAACATAGCATAGACATTTTCATCTTGATAATCTGGTTTTATTCCAAATGTTCATTTAGAAGACAGTTGTGTGGAATTCAGAACACATTTTCCCACGGAAACAATGTTATACATAGTGTTTAGGTTCCAAGGCTAGCCCACAGAAGCCCATTTAACCCATAATATAGTAAAAGGTATACTGGCAAGAGCCAGAGATTTAGAGTTAGAGGACCAAGTTCAGATTCCGGTTCTGCAACTTACTACCTTTGTATCTCTGGGTAAATCATTTAATCCCTCTGCCCCCAACTTCTTCATCTGTAAATTTAAGAGGCTGAGCTTGATAGTACCTAAGGTTCCTTCTAGCTCTAAATCCTTGAACAAACTATAGTATTAACTTAAGTTCTGATTCCTGGAAACCAGGGCCTGTGACAACCCTAAGGAAGGAGAAGAGAATGTCCTTACTTATTCAGTCCAACTG